TTTCTCACCTACATCACTCACCAGTAGACAAGATGGCCCCGATATTGTCCACCTGACCCAGACGGAAATTGATGCCATTACTCCATTCTCGAACTACGCGGCTGCAGCATTTTGCAAACCCAAGAGCCTGGCAGATTGGAGTTGTGGAGGTAAGCAGATATTGGATACCAGTCCCCCGGACTTTACTGACTACCGTAATAAAATATTTACTCTAGAACCTTGTCGCGCCAACAAGAACTTTAAGTTGCATGCTCTGCACGGTGGTGACGGGAACCATAAGATGACCTGGTTTGTTGGCTACGACCAAGATCTTCAAACTATCGTTGTTTCACATCAGGGAACGGCTCGAGATCGCGTGTTAGTCTATTCTATTCCCTCCTCCGTGAAATCAGATCTATGTCGTGCTCATCTGGGTCATATCTAACTTGTGTAGCCGAGCAGACGTCACCACGGTTTTGTGTATCTTGGATAACTGTGATCCTAGAGACAACAATTGCATTTCTAACTGCAAGGAAGAACATAATGATGATTCTGAACCTGCCTCCTTGAAGACGGATCTCAATTTGACGTTGACAGAGTTGAATTCACCGATGACGGACAACAGGTTCTCTGCCAGTGATGGCTCAGATGCCGAAGCTCCAGGACCGGGTATTAAGGTTCATGGAGGATTTTTGAATGAATATTTAGAGTAAGTCGCCAGCATTCCCCGATTTGTAACTGTCCAAGGGATCACTTTAAATTCTTTACTCAGATTTTCAAGGCCAATATTGAGTGCTGTGAGGGATACTATCGCACAGGATGGTGTGCATCATGTTACAGTCGTTGGCCATTCTATGGGTGAGTGCGATCTCTCCGTTCCCACAAACCTCATCTCACCACTCATTGTTTCAGGCGCTGCTTTGGCCTTGTTAGATAGCATCTCTCTTTCACTTCACCTCACAAACGACGTAGTCATCGATACAATTGCATATGGTTTGCCTCAAGTGAGTGTATTGTGTTAGTGCATTAAGCATTAAGCACCCTCTGAAATGAGTTCTTCCCCGGTAGATCGGAAACCAAGCATTCGCAAATTATGTCGACAATCACATCAAGAATCTCAAAAGGATCACCAACAGGCAAGCCATAATCGCTGCCAAGTTACATACCAACTTATATATAAGGTCACTTCCTGTTTAGAGAGGACTACATTCCATCTCTTCCGGGTGAGGATATCTTTGTCTAGATGTATATAAGAATGCCCCCGACCTAATCCTTCCCGGCTCATAGGAGAACGCCTGAATTATGCCCAACCAAAACAAGGTCAGATCCATATTCGTACAAACGGTGAATGGGTGCGTTGTGTACCGGGTATGTCTCTCTATCCTTCCCTGTGATAAGTATTACAGAAGTTCAAACTAAACTAAAATACTAAACGAATTTTCCCATATTCTATCGGCAGGTCCTTGTTCTCGTGTCGTAGACAATCCTCAAGCCCCTGACACACAAGACATTGACAAACTCGCTCCTGGAATCATGAGTCACATTGGTACGTGAATTTTTGCTTAAGGCGCTAGAAGAAGGAACTTAAGAACCAGCTGATTATCTGATCAGGTCCATACGATTCTGTCTCATTACACTGTCCTGGTTAAGATCTCTGACTTACGGAGTTGGCAGCCGTGACTCAGATCTGTAAGAAGTACATATACTTGTTGGAAAGTGTTTGCAAATTATTTCGAGCCTTTGAATTCTTCTCAAATTGTCGGCTACTTGGAAAGATTTATCTTTGAAGTTGTATCGGGATTTCATCTTTGTTGCTTGGAATATACGCGCTCCGTTTTGATCTGTAGTCTTGACTAGACTACTGTGTAGAGTCTATTGGTGGCGATTCACGTCTGTCCTCAGACCCGTCAACAGAGGGGAGACTCCGATGCGATCCGATTGTCCCCATAGATCCGTGGAGGGTGGTGAGATCCTATGTAATTAACAACTCTACCACGGTATTTTCTCCTAGGGATCATTCTGGTGCATTTAGCCTAGCCTAGCCTATTCTTTCGCCCAGTGGCTATATAAATGTTCCTATGTACAGAGGTTCATTGCTATTGCTATGGTACGCAAAACCTTATCTACATATATAGACAGATCACGTAACCTACGGGCCTAGTTGACAGTCAGACTATCTTGCATCTACAACCTGAGGTGTGCTATATGTAGGTTGTAGTACCCATGGTCTGTAAGTCCCCTACTTTGTGTCGTATGTGCTCACCCACAGGCACAAGTAAGCCTTCCCATCCACGGATTTATGCCCAGAATCCAGATGCGCCACCGTTCATTTCCACAGGTCCGCCATTGGCGGAGTGCTATATTCAACTACGATGCAATTTTCGAAGGGGTATTAGCTAAAAAAGTCACCAAGACCACTTACGACTGACGCACATAAGGGGGGGAAAGTCCTGCCCGAAGTTCCGAGATGAGAGGCTCAATTACAATTTACGATAGCAATTTCAAACAGACAAAAGTCTTCGTTTACATTGGCCAACTTGATCACCTCCGGGATAGTGAGGATGTCGCCTTATTTTTGTAAAGAAGCAAATTCCTACGTGATGTCCCGAGATCTTCCTACCTCCTCTTCCTCCTACGGGCGAATTCGGATAACGGCACTAAGTGCTCGAACTGACAACGCTTCGTTCCAGAGTAAAAATTGCAACATCGACTTTGTGGTTGCGCAATTGTCTACGTTATTCTTCAATCGGGTTCGATGGTAGAGTCTAGTGAACCCTTTTGATCCGATAAAAAAGTTACAAGTCACGAGATGCCAAGGGGTCTCTCCCAAACGTTCAAAAAGTTCATTCTTGCTAGGTACATCCTCCAACGAAATCTAATTTTTCCAACAAAATGTCCTCCACCACTCTCAAGGTAGCAGCTGTCCAAGCCGAACCTGCTTGGTTCGATCTACAAGCTGGAGTCACTAAAGTCGTCTCGTTGATCAAAGAAGCAGGAGAGAACGGTGCTCAACTCATTGGTTTTCCAGAATCTTTCATCCCAGGTTATCCAGGATGTATCTGGACTGGAGGTTTCGATCCGGAACTGTTGGTGAATTTCCAAAAGAATTGTTTGAGTGTCAAGTCGGAGGAATTTGCGACGATTAGAAGAGCAGCGAGGGACGCTGGGATATGGTGAGCATACTATGAAATCGAAGAAAACCACCCATCATCGCTGCGTTTTTCGTAATCTGGATGGATCGAGGAGACCTGACTCAAAACTTGAACTTTCTAGGGTTGTCTTGGGATACACTGAGGTTGATGGATATAGCATGTATTGTGCCCAGAGTTTCATCAATCCTGAAGGTCAAGTAGTGCTTCATCGTCGTAAGACCAAGCCCACTGGTTCGGAACGAACGATTTGGGGGGATGCTCCTGGTAAATTTCATCTCTTTCTGTACCCCCATAGTACTTGTTGCTGACAGTCTATTTAGCAGATTCTCTTCAGACTGTGGTTGAAGGACCGAATGGTATCAAGATTGGTGGGTTGAATTGTTGGTGAGTTTTTGTACACCTCCGAGTCCCATTTTCCTTGGTTGGCGCGTAATACCGACGTCTTTTGTTATGATACTTATATAACAAAGGGAGCACCTTCAACCCCTCCTACGTTTCCATCATTACAGCCTCGGATGTCAGATCCATGTCGCAAGTTGGCCTTACATGATGGATCCTTCCGAGGCAGAAATTTATCATCAACATAAACCAGAGATGCAGACCATCGCAACTCGTTTTACGGCTTTGGAAGGACAAACATTTGTCATTTGTAGCACGCTGATAATTACTCCAGAGAATTACGAAAAGTGTAGGTAAGTTCGTGCCGGGTTTTTCTTGTTCAACTTCTTCCTTTTGGATTTTTCAAATGGTATCCATAAACTTACTCTCTTTTTGATGGAAAGGGTGACGGGCACTAACCGGGCTCCACCGGTACGTACTTACTGAACTTACTATCGCCCTTTAGGTCGGAAGAAAAAAACTCAATCTACTTACTATAGAACGGGGGTGGCTTCGCTGCCATCTACGGACCGGATGGAATTCAGCTGACATCTGACATCGACCCCGGAAAGGAATGCATCCTTTACGCCGATATAAACCTAGACGCTATTCGCCTAGCAAAGCTTTCCGCTGATCCCGTTGGACATTAGTGAGTTAATAATAATAGAATGACACACAGGGGGGGAAGAGAGAATGCTTACAATCCGAAACCTTTTTTCGTTCGCCAACAGCTCTAGGCCTGATTTGTTGTCTTTGAACGTTGGCAGTTCTTCTTCGATTGCAAATCCAGCCACACTAGTGAGATATCCATCAGGAGGGGATTACACGCTGTTGAGTAAAATTCCACCACTTGAGAATTGAGAAGTGGTTGTCTGCACGCGCACTTATGGCACTCGATGTCTGTACTTGTTTTGATTTAGTATTTGTCTTTCTCGCGTTTCTCGATAGGGAGGGAACCATTTCTGTGCAATTTATTCTTGTACAAATATATGTACAATGTCGTTTGGATATTCTTGTTGCAACGTCTAAGTTAGTTGAGTGCCTGAAAAGCGTCGGTGCGGTGGCAAGCCAGATATGCTCACGCTGGTAACACTGGTAGGAATTACAGAAACATTACAGTGGAATTATGCTAGGAATTACTATAAAAGTTAGAATTACAGTGGAAATACAATAATTTCATTGTAATTCCTATTATAAATCTTCTGTAAAGCCCAAATAAATCTGCTATAATTCCTTGGAATTGCACAAAATTGTTCTCAGTGTTAAATTCTTGTTTTCCATCTGTGAAATTGCCATTGTCACGCCCTTAGAGACTTTTTTAAGTCACTGCAACACATTACACATAGTGTTATTGAATAGCTGTCGACCCTTTGACAGTCAGGATTTTTTCACTTACTTACTTTTTTTTGTCAAGAGCCAGAGCGACAGCTGGATGTTTTTATTGGCATTGATATCTGAGCATAGGTAAAAGACTCGAATAAAACAAAAGGTTGGACGTTCAGGGGATTGAACCCTGGACCTTATACAAGTGGATGCTCGACGGATGGATTGATGGTCTTGCAAAGCATACGCGCTACCACTGCGCTAAACGCCCTTAACATTGCGGAGCGTATTTTCATTTTCGCCCGGAATATCCTGAGCAGGGTTGGAATCCAGGGTCTATTAGTTCCGCTTCAATGCAATTGGTTCATCATCTCAACACTTCCAAAAGACCGCTCAAGACCGCTCGTTTGTCTGTTCAGCAAAGTCTTCAACTCCCCTTTAGCTCCTGCACCATCGGTCGGGGTACAAACCTCAATTCAACAACAGGACCCTTCACGAACGCGGAGGGGTTGTACTCGTTGTCAGTTTTTTATTCGGGTAATCATTCGTTGTCGACGCGTTTGGTCCTTTGTTTTCTTTCTCCTTTCTCTTCCACGACCACCTATTGTCTCGAGGCCGCGTCTTTGTGCCATCTTTTTTCCTTCTTTGTTATAGGAAATCCGAATGGTCAAGACAACGATAGTCTTTTCTCAGGAAAAGGAAAAGTGGCATCTTCGCCTTTCTGTCGCAATCATCTAGCAAATTACTCTAGGGAGAACGAAGAAAGAAGGAGTTTGTATGGCACGGACGAAAGTGAGTGTTGACTTTTGCTTCAATGCTGGGTGATATGACGAAGGGGGAGGAGAGCGCTGTAACTGGGATTCTAACAGACTTTGCTCGGCAGATAGACATCGAAGTGGTTCACGGGAAATGGGGCAAAGGTCAGTTGCTTGTCTCGTCCCTCTCTTACTCTGAAGCCTGCTCACTGTCCTGCTGTCCTGCTGTCACCTTTTTTGTTTCAAAACTCGGTCCCTGACCTCTCTATAAAACTTTGAATTGCAACGACGGCACGACTCACTCGACTTGTTTGTTTCGACATTCCTCGTCATCACAATGAAATGGTCTGGTCATAATCACGATCCTTCTAACGCGTTCTGTTTGCGCAAAAACAGTTACGAAAACACCCTGGGGTGGTTCAGTTCCCAATGTGAATGCATTGATGGCAGCAGCGTCTGAGGCGGCGAAGGTTCAAAAGAAGGTACGTCTTTGGACGTTGACATCGTCATTGTGACCACGCTCATAGCTTCATTTTTTTTCGTTCTTTCACCACACGTCTGTGCCTTTTCTCCGTGTCTTTGTTCAATGTCTCTCATTCTCTCTGCGCGCTGTGTCTTTGTTCAATGTCTCCCATTCTCTCTGCGCGTTGCGTCTTTAACGTTAATTGACAACACCCTCATGTCTCATATCCCCACTATCATTCACCCACGAACACACCCATCTCTTGACAACATCTTCATGCTCCATATTCTTACTATCATTCACATCCCACGGGTACCCATCTCTTGACACAAAAAAAAGAGAGCCTCTATTGCTACGACCAGAACCAGAGCCAAACCGAAAACTACTAACGATCCCATCCCGTCCTCCTCTTCCTCGCCCTCTGAAACCCTTCCCGTCACCATAACGATATCGGCTCCGGTTGAGAAGAACACTAGTACTCGAAATCAGTCTATTCTCAACGGCGATAGTTTAGCGTCGTCTTCTTCTTTATCGAGATCTACCAGAACGAGACGTCAAGTTAATAGCTCAAACAACGCTGTTACCGAACCAGCTGTCGTTCTTCCGACGCCTACTACTACTACTATTACTGCAACCGAGTCGTCTCCCATTCCCGTTGCGGCTGCTCCTTCTGCTACGATTCCTCTTATACCCGATCCTTTTATTGCTCCAACATCGACCTCTCCAGTATCCGCGTTTGCATCCACATCCGTTTCCGCATCCGTGTTTCCCACCGGCGACTTTTCCAACAATCTCAATCCCAATCCTAACACTACAACGAAAGCTAAGAAAAGCGCTGTTCGTGCTAAATCCACTTCTAAACCAAAAGCTTCGAATAGTAAATCCACATCCAAAGCCAAAGCCAAAGCCAAATCCTCATCAACTGCTACTGTTCCTCAAACTTCGGTGTCTACGAGACCAAAACGAAACGCGGCGTCTCGCGCTCAAGCTCGGCTTACTCAAATTATCGAGGACATGGGTCGGACGGTTAAAATGGAAGAGGTTGAGGAGCAGGGGGTCAATGAGGAGAATTTCGTTTCGGGTTTGATGGATGTGGGGATGAATGTAGATGGAGTCGGAGTTGGAGCTGGAGTTGGGGTTGGAGCTGGAGCTGGAGTTAATGATGTCGGTATGAAAGACCCAAAGGCTGGAAATGACGCGCTGCTAGGTAAACCTCTAAACGGAATGGAAATCGGCAATTGCGTTGTTCCAGTGTCGATATCGTCGAGTCCCATGGGGGTAGTGAGCGAGAACTTGAAAAAGGGAAGAGGAACTAGGAAGGCGAAGGAGCAAAGCAAGGAGAAAGGGAAGGAACAAGGAAAGGGGAAGGGGAGGAGTCGAAGGAAGGAGAAAGTGGAAGATCCTGCTCCTCCAATCATGATGGACTCCTACGACGTTTGTGTTCCTGTCCCTGTTCCTGTTCCTGGGCCCACGAGCACTGCGTTAGCGATGAACGATGATTCGTCTCTTGCTATCAACAATGATGGGGTTGGGGAAAGTCATCATCATCACATTGGATCTTGGAGTATCGAGGAACATGGACAACAACAACAACAACAGCCTCGAGTTGATTTCGATGATCCCGTTGGATTTTCGTTTGGAGCGACGATGTCAGCGGGTATTCACCGATTGGTGGGGTTAGGGGGTAATGATGGACTAATTCGAGTTAAAGAGGAGCCAGTTGATTGAAGGAGACGCGGTAGTCATGGTTTTAGTTAGTTCGGGACACAAGTATTTTTTTTTGTTGTTTTTGGTCCTAGTGAAGTACAATAAACGTATCCAGCTTCTCTTTTTTTTCGACAATCATATTCAAGGACAGTGTCCGGCTATTATGATAAGGTCGTCGACACGGACCACATCTGCAATGGAAATTTTGGACTTGCCTACCCAATGTACTATAGACAGAAGACTACTTGTTTGAAAATTTTGACGTTTATATACCTTTCGTTGGAAAGATGGGGTGTACAAAGATAAATAACTATTCTTTAAGTACTAATTATAAGGGTGTGAGGTTGTAGAAAGCATACTGCCGCTGTAGATCTATAAAGTATTACTTACTACTTCATAACCCAGGATATAGAACCTCGGATCCTTTGTCTTGGGGTAAGTTATTGTGAACAGTATATTTCAATGCTGTTTAATCTGCACAAAAATCGAACCCCCCCAACTATGCAGTTTCCATTACTTTCTAGAAATGCTTCAAAGCGCATAAAAAATAAATTCATTGACATTGCTCTAGATCTGTTTTTCATGTGGTAGACAATCACTGTTTTGATATGTACTGATACCTCATTTCTATCCTTACTATTCAATGAAACATAACACCAAACGTCAAATTTTTTGTGCAGATTGAACAGAATCATACACACCAGCCAACTAGAGATGAGTATCTGTTAACTGTATCCTACGTGATGAGAAGCTTTCTAATTACATTCAGTGTTCAAATTTCCTGATTACTCCGAGCAACATGTACGTATTGATATTGCACATTTGGTCGGAACAAAACTTTATCACTCGTTTTGAAACCTTAAAATCCAGAGCGTTAAAGTAGACCTCACGTGCATTTGGATAATCTTGTGCGTGTATCTCTTGTCCACCGCATCTCATCATTTCATCTCTGAGTGCTTCTCATGTCAGTATTTCTATTGATTGTCCATATTGGGTTAGAATTAAACTTTATCACTCTTTCTGAAACCTTAAAATCTAGAGCTGTGAAGTAGACCTCACGTGCATTTGGATAATCTTACAAGTCACTGAGTGCTTCTCATGTCAGTATTCCTATTGATCATTGAAATTAGGTCAAGACTAAACTTTTCACTCTTTCTGAAACCTTAAAATTTAGAACTGTGAAGCAACCCTCATGTGAATTTGGATAATCTTCTGTGTGCTTCTTTATTCACATCTGGAAAATTGGTAATTGTGAGTTTTTCCATTCTCCTTGTCCTCATATATTTTCCATCGCCAACTTTTACTACTTCTCCTACAAATAAGATAATCATGCGTAAACGTGATCAAGTCAAAAAGAAAATAGAGAATACAGTTGGGAAAATACTTGGAAACAAGGAGAGAAATGATGTTATTAAATATTCCTTTGAAACATCATTGAAGGTTCTCAAAGAATCCTCTGACTTCAACCCAATCTTAAAGTCAGCAGTTGGTGGAATTTGTGCAAGTCTTGAGATTATTCATGTAAGCCTTGTGCCTTATCAAAATGTCTATATCCAAAAATTCTAATTGCTTCCTTGAATCTAGCAAAAGACAAAAAATAAAGTAAAAATGACTGAGATGACTAGAGACTTGGCAGCAAAAGGACAGGAGCTTGACAGTCTCAATGGCCAAGGAAACTCATCTGAAGTGGAAGATCAAATTGGGATACTAGCTAGGTAACTTGGGTCTACTCATCTGTCACAATTTGGTCTTATTGCCTTGACAGGAAACTGGACTCAATTGATGTAAAATTGAGGGAGAAGTTGGAGCACTCTCCAATGCAAAGGGCACTTCAGGCTGATCATGATGCTCAAGACATTGAGAATTATTGTCAAGAATTACAAGCAGCATATGAGGAGTGTAGGGTATGGTTTGTGTTGTGATTTCAGATTTATAAATAAATTAATAATTTCTGTCACCCAGACTCAAATATTGTTCAAAGTTGAAAGAGATACCACAAAAATTTTGAAGGTATGTTACTGCATATTTAGATGGGAACTGAGACTCAAAGAGATAACAGACTCTGATGATAAACAAACTTGAATACTCTGTATTGGCATTTCATAATGTTGCCAGTATGAACAGGAGCCAATGCACTGAAGGCACAAGAGTAGAAATTCTCAATGATATCATGAAATGGGCAGAAGACTGTTCATCTGATACATTATTAGGGTACTGGATGTGTGGTATGGCAGGCACAGGCAAGAGCACTATTGCTAAGTCACTGTGTCTGAAACTTGAGGAAAAGGAGTTACTTGCTGGGTCATTTTTCTGTTCTCGCCAAGTTCTGGAATGCAGAAGGGATTC